GACAGCATTTCTCTGTGTAGCTTTGGAGCCTATCCTGGCACTTGCTGTGTAGACCAGGCTGGCCTCGAATTCACATAGATTCACCTGCCTCTGCCTCCTGAGTGAGTGCTGGGATTAAAAAAATATGCACCAATGCCTGGGCTGCTGTAATACTTTTTTAAAACCAAATTTTGTAATAATTGTCCTGCAGACAGGGACACTGAAAAAGTACAGACACCTTCAGTGAGTTTAGTGCAGAAACATCACTGCAGTAACCATTTGTATGCATCTTCTCTAAAGACAGTCTGCTAGGAAATAGGACCAGCCAAGGGCCAGATCTGATAAGAGAAATGGGATGTTATAGCTCTATGCTGTGAGCTCTCAAGGCCTCCATAGCTTCTGTAAAGGACCAGAAGAGCCCACAAACGCATGTGAGGCACTGTAGGTCAAGAGGAGGGAGTGGCAAGAGATGAATACGATAGACTTTCCAATGGTGTTTGGGATCAGAATTTGGTCTTCAAACACAAGCAGGAAGGTTCAGAGAGCAGCCAAAGCAAGCTAGAAAGCTGCAAGGCCATGTCAGCAGGGGGTGCTGTTGCACTAAGCTGAGGCTATACCTAAAGCCTTGGGTTCTTTTTTTTTTCTTTTCTTTTCTTTTCTTTTCTTTTCTTTTCTTTTTTTTTTTTTTTTTTTTTTTTGGTTTTTCGAGGCAGGGTTTCCCTGTGACTTTGGAGGCTGTCCTGGGACTAGCTCTTGAAGACCAGGCTGGACTCGAACTCACAGAGATCCACCTGCCTCTGCCTCCCGAGTGCTAGGATTGAAGGCGTGTGCCACCGGTTCTTAACAAATGAAATTGTGCCCTTCTGGGGTGATAGGGTATAGGTGCCTTGGCATCTGTCAGACACAGCTGGGTAAATGATGGCACCATTGTCCAAGACTGGTAGGGAACTGAACTAAGGCATGGATGAGTTCTGTGGGGCATCCAAGAGCCAAGTACATTGGGGAAATTTTGGGGGGTGTGAGGAGATGGCAGAATGGTAGTCTAGCCTTGGGTGGAGTTTGGGTGAGAACCATCTCAAAAGAATATAGGCTGTGGCCAACATCACTTAGAAAGTCTGGGTAAGGTCTGAATTTGAGATTAGCCTGGTCTACAGTGAGTTCCAGGACAGCCAGAGCTACACAGAGAAACTGTCTTGAAGAAGGAAGGAAGGAAGAAAGGAAGGAAGGAAGGAAGGAAGGAAGGAAGAAGAATCAGAAGAAAAAAGAGGGAGGAAGGGAGGGAGAGAGGAGGGAAATACGAAGAAAGTAGTCTGGCTAGGAAAGATGTATTGCTCTTTTGGTGAGGCAAGTGACTGGTGTTTCAATGCTCCTGGGAGGAGCCTGCAGAGGGGGAGATGAGCTGTGCTCCAGTGGCTACAGAGCAAGCTCCAGAAGAAGGGAGCCGGGGAGGCCAGAGAAAGTTGTATAGATCTAGATGATGTTGGGAAGGAAGCTGTTGCTGCCAAGGGGCCTTGGTTATTAAACAGAAGTGTCAGGGTCCTGTCAATCAGGAACCAGGGAAGCAGACAGAATACTTGCAGGAGGGGATCAGATGAAATAAGTTGGAGAACGGGATTACTATAGGGACTAGAAGCCTTAATGAGTTCACCAGAGCTTTGTGTCTACCTAGAGGCTGTCAATGTAGTGTTTGTATCCCAGATGAGGTGTACCTTTTGACTATTTTTTCAAGTACTCAACTTCAGACAAGTTTATTCACAGGTTCACACTATCCTTTCCCAGGGTGATTTTCACTTCATCCACTATGCCTTCAGCAGACCCGTGAGTGTTGATTTTCTTTCAGTCAGCCTCAAGATCCCAGGTACAGTGGGACTTTGAAGCTAGCTTGCTTCACAGGTATTTCTGGGAGCCCTGAGAACCATGGCAGTGTTCTCTGCATGAACCTTGAGGGACCAAAGATTTCCAAACAGGAGCCAAACTTGCCTCTACACTCCTCAGTTATAGAAGAGTTCTTTTTTCTTCTGTAGAAGACTGAATCTTTTTTTCAATCTGACTATACTGGTTCTGAAAGACAAGGTCAAATTCTTTATAATTCATGCTTAACTTCTGCCTCAAAAGCCAAGTTTTAAAAAATTCTGAAAGCACTTATTTTTACATCTTTTCCAATGATAGCTAGATGATAGCATACCATTTCTTAGAACTATTTATTTATTTAGGTTTTTTTTTTTTTTTTTTTGAAACAGGGTTTCTCTGTTTGTACCCCTGGGTGTTCTAGAACTCACTCTGCAGACCAGGTTGGCCTCACGTTCACAGAGATCTGCCACCACCACCTGGCTCTTAGAACATTTTAAGTGGAAATTTTCAAATACAGTGAGAATATAATTAGCTCTTGTGCACCCATCACTCACCAAAAGCTATGAGGAGTCTGTCTGGTTTCCCCCATCACTTACTACACCCATAAGTGTAGCAACAATGGTGGGGAGGGGGTGATCCCTCTTTCTTTGGTTTTTGGGACAGGATCTTGATGTATATAGGCCAGAGTGGCCTTGAATTTACAGTCTTCTGCCTCAGCCTCTAGAATGCTGTGAATACAAGACTAAACCTGGCCCCTTGAGCATTTTGAGGCAATTCTCAGATGCATCACTTCACATGCAAATACTCCAGTATTGCCTGATTTACAGGAAGGAGAGTTATCATACCTAACAAATGTTAGCAGTGAACCCCTAGCAGCCAATGCCCATTTCCAGTCTTTCAGTGTACTCATTAGCTGATGGCAAGCAGAGGAGCTCTGAAGGGACAGCCTCCCTGGTCAGGATCCTTGAAGTTCCCGAAAGGTACTACGGAGTCATCTGAGGAGATGCTGAATCCCTCTCAAGGCAGGGTACTCCAATAGCACAAGACCAACACTAGAGCATCTCCACCACCCACCTAGGCCAGAGGGACCTTCAAGGTCCAGTGAATCTCTGAAGCAGTGCAGGGAGACAGACTCTACTTCCTGCCCTTCTCTGCCCTCTGAGATTCAGCCTCCGCGCCTGGCAAGGCTCCTGCATGGCCTCTTCAAGTCCATTGCCTGCTTCCCCAGCCTAGTGGTGCAGTGCTGACTTCGGTCTCAGCATCCTGCCAGTCCTATGGGGTCATGCTGACCACTCCTGCTCGTCCACTGGGAATGCGTCGTTCTTTTTAGTCCCATCTCTTCGTGCACATCCAGCCATTCCCAGAGGTTCCCTCCTCCAGGAAGCCTTCCTTAGTTCAATCCCTCTGTTCATGTTTACTTTCTCTCATGAAACAGTAATTTCCATACATTTATATTACCTTTCCTGCAAGAGCATGTGACAGATCCTGTCACTGACCCTAGGTCTTTCCTTTTCCATGTCATCAGAAGCCTTTTATTGTTACTTGTGGGTGTACATACCATGATTCACCATCAGGAGTCAGTTTTCTCCTTACGTCACTGGGTCTCGGGGATTGAACTCAGGTCTCTAGGCTTAGTGGCAAGAATCTTTATCTGCTAAGTCGTTTCACTGGCCGATGAGTTGAGTTTTGAACAGGCACAGAACAAATCTCTCAAGCAATGATTCTTGGCACAGACAGTCTTCAACCCCCTTTAACAGACCAGGAAACTGAGAAAACTGACCAACGTAATGGAGGAGCTGGGAATTTTAACAGGCAGAAACCATAACTATACTGTATTGCTATACACAATGAACCATCTGTGGAACCATGCTCCATTATACATCAGTCACAAGTTATTTACATGTGAGTACAAAGGTTACAGTTAGAAGGTTTGTGGGCTAGAACAGCTCATGGCAGAGCACTTGTCTAATATAGGCAAGGCCCCAGGTACAGTCCCCAGCACTGAAAAACAGAAATAAAATCAAATTCAATGCCTTCATCTCACTGGCCACGTTTTAGGCACTCAGCAGCCACATGTGGCCAGTGTTTGCCACACTGGGATGGAACACAGATCACTGTATCACTAAGTCCCACTGCATAAAGCATGACTATACAACTTTATAGATGATCTGAAAGTTATTTGGAGTTTTTCAAAGATTTGTATGTTGATTGATTGATTTGTTCATAGTCTTTGAGAGGGGGTTTTGTGCAGCCCAGGCTGGCCTCAAACTCACTGTATCCAAGGATAACCTTGGGCTCCTTCTGATCTTCATGTTTCTACATCTGAAGCGCTGGAACTACAGGTGTGTACCACCATGCATGGTTTAAGCGGTGGTAGGAATTAAACTCAGGGCCTCGTGATACTAGGAAAACACTAAAAACTGAGCTATGGCCCAAGCTCATAAAGTTTTTTAGTTGTTTTGTT